CAGACTTGTTTGGAGGACCTGCTGAAGGAAAATGATGGTCATTGATTTGTTTCATTCTCTGGCTTAGAGCTTCATTCACGAAATACAACTGTCTCTCATTAGCCCTGCCAAGTACATCTACTGGCTTCAGACAAGTATGTTTCAGAAAGGTTCCCTGATATGCCAAATTTGCAGGAGAGGGCAGCTCTCTCCCATTGTGGCAGCACACATTACAACAGTGTAATATATGACTAATCTGTTCTCAGAGAAATAATTCCTCTTTGTCCTGCAAGTAGAAACCAATCGGACCTGCTTCTCCACTGCCGCGTGCTTTGTGGAGGCATTTACACCTGTGAAAACCAATGTAAAAAAGTAGTTATTATGTATGTTGGAATGGATTTAGTAATGTCTCCATGCAACTTGCACAGAAGTAAATGATGGTGCAGGACTGGAAAATCAAGGTTTGTTTATTGAAAGCAGTCCTTCCACTCCCAGGGTCAGGTCTGTGGTTTGGAGGATGATACAGACAAGGTCTCAGATGAAAAACAGGTTGTGCTTGTACTTTTGAAATCTTCACCATAATGTAGTTCTTGTGAGGATTAACTTTCTGTAGGAACTCCTCTGTTTTACACAGTTAATCTGATGCTTGCCAAATCATAGAAGAAATTACATATGGAAATTAATTGTGTTCCTTGTTGTTCTCTTTGTTTTGGAGGTCATTTCTCCTTTCCTCTTTATGCAATACAAGCAAAACCCACTGGAGCAGAGCTTTGATCTATAGGTAAGCCCAAGCCTCATTAAAACTGACAGGGACGCTGGCCATGCTTTGTTCAGGAAGGAGCAATTGAGTTCTTTTATGGCATAAGATAGCTAAAAACGAGAAACTGCTGCCCATGGCACAGGGGTGCATGGCCAAGTGGTGCTAAGATGAGCTAACTTGTATGAGCAAGCACTAATTTGGGGAAAGTCAGGGAGACTTTTCTAGGGACTGCTTGTGAGTGCAGCAGCAAGAGCACAGATTGGTTGCAGCTGTGTTTGCCTGTGTGCATGTCCGGGACCGGAAACACCACGCAAGAGCCAGCAGACAGTGGGAGAAGCAGTGGTGTATGGCCCTGAGAAAAAGCCAAGGGACAGCTTCTTCTGGGCAAGCATCCTGGCTGGAGCAGCAAACTTGGACTGCTGTACAGTTCTCCCTCCCATTTGCTTCCTCTGCGTGCAAGGAAATGGGACGTGGCTGTACATTCTTTGTAAATAAATAGGATTTTGCTAAGGAGCTGACTGAATTCATCATCGATTCCCCCCCACGTCCCTCTGCAGAAAAATCTGGCAAAGTGCTGAATATTAGTTAACTCTGTAGGTCAAAGTTCTGTATGCAAAACTACAGAGCTTTTCAGGACTGCTAAAATAGCCAGCAGAGACCCTGCAGATATCAAGGCAGACTCTGAAATTCAGACCTCAAAACAGCAGTTGATCATTTCAGTTGCTGATGATCCTTCATGGATTTTTAATGCCTAGGATTTCTACAATCCGTATTAAAAGTAGCTTTTATGGAACAATAACAAGAAACTGCTTTCTCTGATCCCTTGTTTGGAATGTTTAATATAGTCCAGATGTATCTGTTGAAAAGAAATGTAGTTAGATACAATATAGTTGTGAAACATTTATATATCAGTAAGGTGTTTGATACCTGGAGCTGTTTTGAATAATTTATTCATTTGTGTTACCTTGCGGCAACTTCTTATCAAGCTGCTCTAAGCTCTTGCAGATTCATGTCCATATTTAGGTTCCCACAGTGACTACATTATCCACCTCAGATTGAGAGTATGCTTACCCCAGCACAGCTGAATAAAGGAGAGTCCTTCAAGAAGTCTCTGTCCTGAAGCTGGAGTGTATTCTGTGTGTCTGACACCTCTGTAACGGGACGTGAAGCCTTAGTGGGAAGGCAGGTTTGCAGCCAAGGCTAAGACTGTAAAATGCCCTCAACTCACCTCTTTTCCTGGAGCTTCACCGCAGGAGACAATTAAAATCCAACAGGTCTTTGGTTCAGAGGTGCTTCACTGATGTGGAATACAAATTTGGGAGGAAAAAAAAATGCTGCTTTTAACTCCAGCTATATTTATCAATCAGTTCTCCTCCAGCAAAGCACAGCGGGTGCCTGGAGCCTGGAATGAGCAGCTGGTGTGGCCGAGGGCAAGGCTGTGTTACTTTTGGCAGCTGTGCTGGCAATAGCTGGCTGGAAGCATTTGTGAAATTATGGCCTGTGGGGGCACTTCTGGTTTATGCTGACGTGTGTGCAGGCTGCCACCAAAACAGGCCCTCTCACTGGCTCATCCTGGCACTGGTGTTTGTTTGGCTGCAGGATCAGCTGGCTGCCCAAATTGATCCTGCTGGAAACTTCTTTTCTTTTTCTTCTTTTTTCTTCTTTTTTTCTTTCTTTCTTTCTTTTTTTTTTTTTTTTTTTTTTTTTTTTTTTGTGAGCTTTCAGCTCTGTTGGCAAGCTGATCTGGCTTAACATGTGGCTGCATGAGTGTTGCAGCCAGCAGAGAGGAGGCCTCAGGAAAGCATGACTAAGGAAAGGGGAAAGGAAGGAATGATGACTTTTGCCAGTAGCACAGTCTTGTCTTGGCTTAACCCCCCGAGAATCTGCCTGTCAGGGTAGAGTTACCTGTTGCAACCTGAGTCACGTTAATGGCTTGCTGCCACTGGATGAGGAAAATCTTACTCCTCTTTTCATCGCTCTTCTGACGTTAGACCTGGTGATTGTCTAATCTTGTGTTGGGCTGATTTAACTTGTTGAATCAGCACAAAACTCACCTCAACAAAGAGAAGGGAATAGCATTCTGCTGACTGAGTGGGTGGAATCAGCTCAGTAGAGCATCTGCAGAGGCTGGCAGAGCTGGGACAGACAAGGGGAGTAGTAGCTGTCAGCTCTGAGGTCGCCGACTGAACCACAACTCTGAGTTTCAGTCTCAGAAATTTCCTGGCATAGTGTTTATTAGAAGAGCCATGATCTGGGTTCTCTCTGTAGTTTAAAGATGACAGTAGATGAATGCCCTTTGTCTTACAAAAAATATGGTGCTTGTCTTGAAAATCTGGAAATTACCACTATTGTATAATTCCTTCCAAATTTCTACCCCTGTATTTTCAACCCTCCCATAACTAAGTGGCATTTATCCTAACACCTCCTTTCAAGCTGTGCCTCTCCTTTGAGCCTAGATTTCCCTTGGCTTTGTTTATGTATTACTCCACAGATCTACAAATGTTCTTTTCCATCAGCCACAGCTTTTCTCTGAAGCTTCTACAACCAGCCTTTGATGTGCCTTGGGAAGACACTGTGCTCTTGGATGCAGGAATGCAAGCTCATAAACAAACTGCTACTGAAAGTGCTGCTATTGAAGCTGAGTTAAAAAGTATAGAAAGATGGACTTACAGTTGTGTGTGACTCAGATAAGAAATAGAAGAGTGACCAAATTCTATTTGATTATGCTCAGGACAGCCGTGAGACACTAAAGTAGGGTGCTGGCTGAGCAGCGTTTCTGTGCACCAAGCACAGAAACCCTGCTGTATGTTTGCCCAGAAGTTTAAGCTTTCCTCTTTGACAGAAGAAATCAAAGGCAAGGAGGGACAAGAACATTTTCAAGTGGACCTAACGAAGAGGCATTATCCCAGGTGGGCAGGCAACCACTCTTCCACCCATTCAGCTCCTTCGTCATTCATAAGGAGACCAGCCCAAAGAACAAATAGAAAATAAAACATACTCTAAAAATATAATGGGGAAAATGTTATACAAAAAATACATGGAAATAATGAGTGAGAAATCTAAAATGCCATGTTGTTGTTAATCTTTAACCATAAAATTACAGAGAAGATTAATAGGACCCAGAAATTTTTGATATAAAAGTGGCTGTTGGGTATGTGTAGACAAGGAGTACTCAGCAAATGTAAATGCGCAAGCATTGGGATATCAGTTGAAAGCAGCTTAGGTGGCTGAGGGAAACTACCTGGAATTACTTGTTTTTATTAAACAGCAAACAAGATGCTGGACAATTAGAAACAAGCAGGATGTTGGAATACATCTGAAGGTCTCAGTTGCTTTTGTGCTGCAACTCTACCTGCTGGGGCTGTTCTCCAGTGGATAGTGGAAGAAATGCCTCAGTGTGCAAGCACTCTGAAAGGGATTTTCAAAAATGCTTGTCCCTGGTCAAACTGTTCCCATTGAGTTCAGCTGAGCAGGCAGGCCAGCTTGGGTGGACAGCAAGGAGAGAAGGTGAGGAGTAACTGACTGCAGTGAATTGGGGAAGCATAACCTTATAATTCAGTAACGTTATTGAATGGCTTTTAAGATCCAGATTCCTAAATAATGAGAAGAAGTATGTCAGATGTGCAAGGGAGCTTCATTTGATAAAAATACAATTTGTGATGTTCCTGGAGTGAGTAGTCCTAGAGGTGAAGAGTCTCCCCTGTGCTGATGTGTGACGGGACTGCAGTGGGGGCAGAGTAGGGGAGTGGGTGCAGAAGCAGAGTATGTACATATGAGAACAGCTTTTGATGTAGTATTTCACAAAGTCTAACTTGAAAATAAGTTCAGTTTTACTTTGATGTGAGACCTTTTCTGTTAACTGATAACTATCAGAACTGCAAAAGAGATACCCAACACAAAGGTCCTCTGACATCTCAGCACTTCCAGATTCAGTTTCATAGTCCTGTAACTAGAATGCTCTTTCAAGTGGACATGGGATCTCTTCTGCTCCATTTCCCTGGGACTAGTCAATGTTTTGTGGAAAAGCTGCACTGCTTTTACAGGCCACGTTAAGTCTTGAAGAGATTCACCAGCTGGAAACGGTATAACCAGTGTGTTCAAGCAAATAAGAATGAATCACTCTCCTTTTATGAAGCACATAAGGCTATCTGTCTCAAATTATGTTTTCTTTTAATAAGTGCTTTCGGAAGGTGGCAGATCCCCAGCAGGATTGTCACCCAGCAGCGCCCCTCCTTAGGCTGTGCAACGTGCGCCATGTGAGCTGCAGGCTCAAGTGTAATTTAACAGAGTTAACAAACAACAGAATCCCGTATATATCTCGGCGGAGGCACAGGCTGCAGCCTCGGCCGCCGCCTTAGGCAGGCAGCATCCACCGCCGGCCCTCTCCCGGCAGCTCCGGAGGCCTTCCCGGCCGCTCGCAGGCAAACGGAGGAAGGGAAGAGCCGCAGCAGCTCCTGCCCCGGGGCCGGATCGGCGGCCGCGGGCCAAGGTGGGTGGGACGGCGGGGCAGCAGCTCCCGGCCGGTGGCTCCGGCGGGCCAGGGCCGGGCGGCGGGGCGGGAGCGGCGGGCCCGGAAGGCGGGCGGCGGCCGGGGCGGGAGCGCGGCGAGCCGAGCGAGTGACCGAGGCGGCCGGGCCCCCGCCTGGCCGGAGCCCCGCGGCCCCGGCTGCCATGGTGAGTAGCGGGGCCAGGGGGCGGCAGGACGGGCGGGCCCGGCCCGCCGAGCGCAGGCCGCGGCTTTGTGAGAGGCGGCGAGGGACGCCGCGGCCGGAGCGCCGGTAGCGCCGGCAGCCGCCATGCCCGCTGTGCTCGGCGGACCGTCAGGGCCTCCCTGCCCCGGGCTGCGGTGCCCGGCAGAGCGCTGAGACCCCCGCGGAAGCCAGGGCCGGCGGCTGGCTGCAGTGCCGTCGTTTAGGGGCGATTCCCCGCTGGAATTGGAGAGGGAGGTTGTAACCAGGAGCGGCAAGGGAGCCTCTGCCAGGTCTAGGGACAATGGGGATGAGCGCGGGGCCAGCGTTGGGGCAGCCCCTGCGCTCGACAGACCGGCCAGCCCTGGGGGTGAAACGGTGTTCATGGGGCTGTGAATGCACCGAGCACAGATCGCTTATTTCTTCCGGCCTTCCTGCCGTTGTAGAGTCATGACATGTTGGATCTGCCTGGTGCTCCTGGAAAAACCTTTGGCCATGAAATACCAGCTTTGAAGCATGGGCAATTTACCCAGGTGTTTTTGGCTGTCTGGATAGCAGCCTTCCAGTAGCTGAAAGGGGTCTACAGGGAAGCTAGAGAGGGACTCTTCATCAGGAACTATAGTGACAGAACAAGGAGTGATGTGTACAAACTGAAAGAGGGGAAATTTTGTTTAGATATTGGGAAGAAATTCTTTACTGTAGGAGCAGTGACACTGGAACAGGTTGCCCAGGGAGGTTGTGGATGCCTCAGTCCTGGCAGTGTTCAAGGCCAGATTGGGTAAGACCTTTGGCAACCTGGTCTAGTGGTTAGTGTCCCTGCCCATGGCAGGGGGAGTTGGGACTAGATAATCTTCAAAGTCCTTTTCAGTCCCTTAACATTCTATGATCCTGTGTTGCCTACTGCTCATGGAGATCAGGTGTTCCCCAATAAAATGGATACAATGACCCTCCGTTAGATTGCAGTTTCTCTTAGTGGAGTGAACAGGGTTAAGATCATAGCTGCTGGAAGGAGGATCTTCCATCTCCCTTCCCCTCTGTGGGAAGGCTGGTGAAATTGCTCATAGGGGTCCTGACACAGACCAGGGTCCTTGCCAAGGAAGGGAGATGTGACCTCTCCTGACTAGCTCAGCTGCTTGTAGAAATGTAGCTTCACTTGGTCAAGTCTCATTTCGAACAGTTACACACCATTGCAGGAATCTTTTTGGTTGTTTTGAAGCCTGGTGAAATTCTGGTTTCACTTTCAGCATGCTGCTGGCTGATAAACCAAACTTCTGTGCTGAGAAGCATGCTAAATGAATTTTTGTCTGGAGTGTGGTTGTTTTTGCTTTTATGGTTTGATGTTGCTTGTCATTCTTCTTCCTAATGATAAAACTGTGCAAGTTGCTATTTCTGATGGGTGACATCTATTGGGTTTGTACCCAGAGATGCTTTTGGTCTGTGTGCTACAAGTGGGGAATTCCAGGGCCACCCAAACCTGGGTCAGACGTTACACAGAGAAATTCCCAGTGGAAAAGTTTAAATCATCACACAAATACCAGGTTGCTAAGGGATGTTTCAATCCACAGACAATTTACTGTCTGAAATTAAAGAAGACAGAAGTTAATCTGTCCAACCAGTCATACAGGTCTTCAGTATTTTTGGTTTGGCATTTCTGGTGTTGTAAGAGGGGGAGGGGGGGAAGTTAATAGACCTGCCCATTTATTTTTAAAAAATCCATTGGTTTTAATGATCTTGTATAAAGGTTTTGAAATGGTTATATTTATGAAGCATAATTATGTAATTCAGTAAGTGGGGTTGAAACGCAACAGGACAGTTTTAGTTGGATCATGAAGACTTTTTGTGTGTGTTTTTTGTATTTTTAGGAGTGCGAAAATCTTTAGTGTTTGTCCTGCAATTTTGATGGAAAGTGTTACAGTAAGCATTTTCTGCATGGGTTTGCAGTTCTTGCTGTCAGGCATGCAAAGTTGCTTTTCCAGCTCCCTAACTGGGAAGTAAAATCCTCCCTGGTAAAGGAGATGGACCAGAGCAAATATTTTCTGCCCTGTGCATTTCCATTTACTTAGAGATGGAAAACTGTCATTTTAGTTTTGTAGTTATTATCCTCTTAGCACATGAGCTGAACTGATCTTTGTGTTGCTACTGTGGCTTAAAGCTATGAGTACAAGTTGGAAAGAGAGAGCTGCTCACAAAAAGGAAGATTCAAGAGTGGAGGGATGAATACCTCCATACCATCTTCCTGTCATCCCATTATTTTTAGCACTAGGAAAAAGATGGAAGAGAAACGTTGCTTTGAGAGCGTGAGAGGTGCTTCAAAACTACATTCTCCTCACAGAAAATGAGGTTTTTGAATGGGATCTGTGGGCTTACAGGAAACCCATTAGTAAGGGTTATTAGATCTTTTCTCTGGGACTTTTTCCTCAGTTGCAGGTGGTGGCTTCTTCTGCCTCCTGACTTCAGTTCTGAGTAAAAAAGCTGGCAACTTTTCCAAAGTCTCTTTTTTCCAGCAAGCACAGAAAATATATGGAGGGGCGTAAGTACATAAGCATGGTTGTCTCAAGCATTCTGACTGTTGTGCTGTCACAGGAAAGTTGGGATTGGGAGGGAGGGTCCTGCTGAGGCAGGGAAGAGCTGTTGTGAGCCAGCTTCCCTTTCATTGCTGGGCTTGTTAGTCGGCCTGAAGGCTCACGGTTAGTGTGCCTGCAGCAAGAGAAGGGCCAAGTCCTGGGCACCTCACTAAAGGGGGCTCCCAGCCCACCACAGGCTCCCAGCCCCCCCCCTCATTTCCTGAAGGGCTCTAAGGGCTCACTGTGCGTGTGCCAGCAGCAGCAAATGGCACAAAAAAATGAAGGGATGTGCCCTAGGGAAACTTTAAAAGGGAGGGATTGGTCCCAGGCTTTTGTTGATCTCAGGTCTGGACCATACATAGTGGCAGGACCAATATGGGATCTAAGGACTGGTGGTCTTTTTCCTTCACTTTCTCTGTTTTCCCTTTTTACTCTCTCCTCTCTTGTTCTATCCCAGCAATTGGATTTTACCCCTTGCTCTGTGCTGAAGTTTGCTGGAAGAGTCAGGAGCTTGGTAAAGTTCATTGTAAAAGTCAAGAGCTTGTCAGCCAACACCTCTACAACTAAATAGCAGGATGGCTGTGGGAGTTAAGGTGGCTGTATAATAAAGGATAAGAGTTCCCTGACACTGGACTGCTGTCTTTGTTCAGCCCACTGAGAAGTCCTACTGAATTTTCAGGTTGTGACAATCCCTCCTCCTCACTTGGAAAGCATGGGAGGTTTGCTTACACTTCCCAAGAATAGCTTTTACTGTGAAGTCTTACTGGGACTGTTGGTCCTTTTGTGAAGGAAAGTCAGGACTGACCTCACTTTTCTTCCTGATAGTGAACTTTGCTTTCCTTGGGTCAGTAGTATTGTTTTTATTACTCTTCTTGTCTCCTGTGCAGCGTGGATCTTCCCTTGCAGCTCTGTTCTTGGCTCCCGTGTTTTCCACTTCATATTTCTTTGAGGGGACAGAAACCTTAGAAATTACATCAAAACTAATTAAGAGCTCATTCACATGCCTTGATGTCGCAGCAGTACTTGCAGTACTTTGATGCACTTTTCTGTGATGTCTTTCAATTTATAAGAGGAATTTTATTACATATATATGAATAAATGTTGTATAATATGGAAGGAATTTATGCAAGGGAAGCATCTTTCTAATTATAGCTCAAAACAAAGTGTATGAGAGCTTTGGATGATACAGACTGTCACCTACTTTGGTCTTTATTGTCTATTTGTTTTCTTAGAGCATGCTGTAAGTTACAAGGTGTCTGCATCTGAGAACTTGGCTTTAGTTAGAGGTGGGGGGAGGGCAGTGCACTGGGTCCTTTCACTGAGACCTTCCAGTAGGAAGGATTACATGATAAATATTCTTCCTGTAGGTTCTCTCCACAGAAAGAAATTCCTGGGGTGTGAATGCTGTGAGAATGGAATTGGAAATAGAGATTGCAGATGAGCAAAAATGTTTCACAGTTTTGTTTCATGATGAATTATCAAGGATTATGGGTGGCTGTTGTTTGAAGTTATTTGAAGTATTTTGACTTGGTGCTGAATGGCTCAATAGTAGCACATGCAGTTGGTTATTTAAAAATACTGCAGGAGCAAGAGAAACGCTAATTCTTAGAGTGGTGACTCTCCTTTGGCCTTGCAGGTAGAGCAGAAAGACACATTATGTATTCTGTAGCAGCAGAAACACTGCAACAGGGCTTTTTCAGTCACTTTTAGTATTGTCTACAGTACCAGTGCGTGGGGTTGAAACTGGAAGTTTTGGATGAGTGGAGCAAGTAGAAAGTAATCAAATCTTAGCAGACTATATTGGCTGTGTATCTTCTGTGCAAATCCTATTTATGTGTATTGCATCAGCAAGGAAAGATGTAAGTCTTGCACTGTTACTGTGAGTACATGAGGTATGTTCTTTAAGAATCCTTGGTGGGATTGGCAAGTGTTCTTTTCCAGCATTTCTAGTTGAGAGTCCAAAAAATGGTTTGCCTGAGCATTGCACCATTCTTGTGCCTGCCATTTGCTGGCCAGGTACCACAGCTAAGGGGGACTGGCTGCAAAAACCCAGCTGAGGCTCTGTCTTAAGGATTCTGGAGGAAAAAATACATCCTTTTCTCACTGAAACATGTCTCAGATGGAAATTGGTCTTTGTATGGTCTCCTTGAGGGAGAAATACGTTTTTTAAGTTCTGTTACCATCTTTTTTCTCTTTCCTAGGACATGATGGAGCTCTTAGAGGAAGATCTGACCTGTCCCATTTGCTGTAGCCTGTTTGACGATCCTCGTGTCCTGCCCTGTTCACACAATTTCTGCAGAAAGTGTCTGGAAGGAATTCTTGAGGGAAATGTGCGGAATGTGCTTTGGAGGCCATCCCCTTTCAAGTGCCCCACATGCAGAAAGGAGACTCCTGTCACTGGAGTCAACAGCTTGCAGGTCAACTATTCCCTGAAGGGTATCGTGGAGAAGTACAACAAAATCAAAGTAACTCCAAAAATGCCTGTGTGCAAAGTGCACAGCGGGCAACCCCTTAACATTTTTTGCAGGACAGACATGCAGCTGATCTGTGGGGTTTGTGCCACCCGTGGTGACCACACAAAGCATGTTTTCTGTTCCATTGAAGAAGCTTATTCCCAGGAGAAGCGGGCTTTTGAAACCTTGTTCCAGGGCTTTGAAACTTGGCGTTGTGGAGATGCCCTCTCACGGCTGGATACCTTAGAGACCAGCAAGAGGAAAGCTCTGCAGATGCTGACGAAAGATTCTGACAAAGTGAAGGAGTTCTTTGAGAAGCTGCAGCACACGCTGGAGCAGAAGAGAAATGAGATTCTGTCTGACTTTGAGACCATGAAGCTTGCGGTGATGCAGGCCTACGATCCGGAAATCAATAAACTGAACACCATTCTGCAAGAGCAGCGGATGGCTTTTAACATTGCAGAGGCCTTCAAAGATGTGTCCGAGCCCATTATATTTCTGCAGCAGATGCAGGAGTTCAGGGAAAAAATCAAGGTGCTCAAAGAAACCCCTTTACCTTGTTCCACTGTGGACATCAGTCCCACAATGAAGAGCTTTGATACCAGCCAGTGGAATGGAATAAAGCTTGTTGATGTGGACAAACTTTCCTTGCCTCAGGAAAGCAACACTTTCAAATTCAAGATTCCCTCAGTCTTTTCACGCAGATTTATAGTGAACTCTCTTATTTTCTTGCTCATTCTTGCTGTCACCAGAATGTCCTTTGTGGAGTCGGTCATTGACAATCTCCAGTGCTGGAAATCTCAGTTCCTTACAATTTGCTTGTCCTATTTGGCAGATACCGTGGAGATAGCAGATCATGCAGTCTTTTACTGGGAACAGATGACAGATGGAGCTTCACTCTTAAGAGAAAAGTGTAAAAACTATACGTTGGTTGTACTGGATAACGTCGCACAGTTTGTGTGCAAATATAAACTGTTGTGAAGTGTCTGCTGGAATATAAGAACTAAGAGAGATCTGGGGGAGAAAACATGGAACTTCTTAAATTAATTGGTCTTTTCAGACTTCAATGAAACATTCTAGATTCAAAATGATTCCAAAACATTCATAATGTTCCCATAGTTTGAGTACTGCTAAACCAGAAAATGAAATGGAGCTTTGAAAAACATTTTGTGGATTCTTCTTTCAGTGGCGATTATGGGAATATTACTCACCGTAAATCATTTTCCTTACCAAAATATAGGGCCAAACTGTATCTTTAGTTTGATGTTAATGTAGAATAAGGTAAAAGATTGTAGTTTTAAAAACATTCTAACGGGGAGATCATTTGGAAAGAGGAAGAAGAGTTATAACTGAGGTGAGCACTGTGCTGACAGGTTTGCTGAGGACTGCCCTTCCACTGCAAAATGCAGCGTGCATCATTCATTTTCTGGAACCAGCTTCTATCTGACAATGTTACTTCTCTCTGAAATAGCTGTATGTTTTGGTTTGGTTTTATGGGGTATCTTTTTGTATAACCAAATACTGTAATTACCCTGTGCATTCAGATACATGTTCTATACAAACATGTTTCTTCAGGGCAAGCATAAATTCTAGAGGTAATAATAAGAACAAGCTACAGGATGGTATGTGCTTTGCAGAGAGTTCATACTTTGCAGTTTACTTTTCCAGCATCAAATTGTTGGGGTAGCTGGGCTGTTTTGTTAGATCCATGTTTCTCTGGAGCCACGCTTTCTTAAAGACTGGCCTTAACATAAAGAACTTAGTGCAGTGAAAGGCATGCAGGGGTCTGCCACAGGAAGGCAGCCTGGGCTCTAACCCTGCAGAGGTGGCAAGTAAAACAGCTGCTCTCCTGTCCCTCTCTGCCTCTCCAGATTGCAATTCCAAAAGCCAGGAAAAATGACTGGATGATTCCTGGAACAGGTTGTGTGATGCAGCAGGTGTATGGATGTTGGTGGTGTTTGAAGAACCTTGTATAGGTTCTTGTGCTGTTGCTGTATTTTTGTGTATCTTGTTTGAGGAGCTAATTGAATTTTCTGTTTGTATTGACTTGGCCTTAGATACAATGATTTAAAGGGAACCTTAAGCTTGAGTTCTCTGAAGTGCCCTTCTTCCAGAGCATACGGTACTGAAATGTCTTGCCTGAAGCACATTTAACCTCTTTTTGCAGTGGTAGTGTGAACAGCAGTGTATGGAATGAAAATGTTGAACTGACATTTCTAGAAAACAAATATAATGTGTGCCATCCTTCAGGAATATTTGTTGGCCTCTCTCAAGGTCTCATAAATTGCGACAGTCAATTCACTGTATTCTGGTAGTCCTTGCAAGCTGTTCATCTCAAAAATAAAACATTAAATTCCAAGAGTTCAAAGTCTCCAAGCAACCAAACCCAGCAAACAAAACTATTGTACATGATATTTACATCTTTGTTGCCTGGGAATCCTGTTGCTGCTCCACACCTCACTCCAAACACTTGCTAAAAGCATGCAATGGTTTTTGCAGCTGCCTTGCAGGTTAGGAAGGATCAAGTCACAGAGGTGTAGATCGGGGACCTGCAGTTCCTGAGTGGCTGAGGCAGCCATGAGTAGTCGGGAGGTGGTCGTTCTGAGTGTGGGAGGTGTGAGGTTTGTAACCCGGGCTTCCACCTTGCAGCAGTTCCCCGAGTCCAGGCTGGCACGCATGGTGAGTGACGATGACCAGGAATTTAAACTGGTGAATGGAGAGTTTTTTGTGGACAGAGATGGAGCTTTGTTTAGTTACATCATGGACTTCTTGAGGACTCTCCAGGTTTCCTTACCAACTGATTTCTCAGACTATCAGAGGCTGCAGAGAGAAGCAGAATTCTATGGACTCTACCCCCTGGCCAACCTCCTGAGCCAAGAACATTTGCTGAAGCCAAGGCTGGAGATCTTGGAAGTGCGTTTTTCTCTCCAAGAAATGCAGGCCTTTTTCCGGATCTTTGGTTCCTGCAGTACCACCATTGAGGCACTAGCTGAGCAGATCACTGTGTTTACAGGGCAGCAGTCAGGACAGGGCTGGAACAGCCCTTTTCCTTCCCAGAAACCACTCGTTCCACTTCCTTTGGAAAGACCCTCTCATCATGATATGGTTTTTCTGTGTGGGACTGAGTATTCTGCTGGTGACCAGTTCGTGGCCAGGTACTGTCTCTGGAGTGACTTCTCATTACAGACACGTCTTTGTGACTTGCAGTTCATGAAGTGCACACTATGTGCTAGCAAAGCTCATTTTAAAGAAACTGAAAGAAAAGAAATATGTTTCCTTCTTTCTGTTCAATGTTATCTTTTTCTAGTTCTGAAACAGCCAGTTTAATTTGTTACACTGATTTGCCTGTTCTCAGCTTCCTGAAGTACTGTTCTTGATGTTTGTTTGTAAGTGCTCTTGGGTTTTTCTCTCTCTCTGCAATTTCCTCCTCACTCACTTTAGGATTTCACAGTATCGCCTTCCACAGAACATGAAAAACACAGTAAGGAAACAAAGTAAAGTAAATTACTGGGTGGAAGCCTAAAATCTCCACTAGCTTATGGTGCAAAAGGCTTTCATATGGAAAACAGGAAACAGAGAATGGCAAGAAGGGTTAAAAACTTCATTGTAACTGAGACAGCATTTTGAGGACTGGAAAGCTTTTGTAGAACTTTTTATTAGGGGGAGGGAGAAAAAAACAAATTATTGACTATATGCTTCACAGTGGATTTTCTTTGAATTCAGGCCCAGGTTCTGTTTTTATTAAGATAACTGTGTATCAGTAATTTTTGTGATAGCAGTATTGTATTCTAATGACTACTTAGGTTTTTTTAAACTATCTTTTGCTGGATGTCTCTATTGTATGGAGACATGTTCTTACTGTATAAGAAAATGTTAACCTAATTTGTCCTCTGTGGCTGTTAGAACATCTGGAATTTTATGGAAATTTCATTGAAATATTTCCAAAAATATTCTATTTGAATATATGAACCAACACAGCAGTCTTTTGATTGTTTTTTAAAGAAAATAAAGTTTATCTTTCTTCCAGCTTTCTCTGGCTAAACAATTAGAATAAAAACTACTTTGCATTTGTGAAGCAATATATATGTTTGTGTGCCAAACCTTAATTTTATAACATATTACTAATTTTAATGGACTAGCAATTGGTTGAGTAGGTTATGGCAACTTAAGTAGTGGGGAAAATATTTCTGATTTTTTCATTTATTTCTTCAGAATTAGTAAAAATTTCCCTTTGCAGATCAATAGAAAAGCTGATCTTGAGTAATGAAATAAGTAAAATTTGATCATGTTGCCTTGCTGGATTTCTATTTCCTTAGTCTTTGTGGTGACATGGACTTTTTTGCCTTTCTTGTGCTTTCCATGAATGTTTGGTGTACTTGCCTGTGAACTGTGGAACAGTTTCACCTGTCAGTTTATACATTTTGTAATAGTATTTTTACCTGACTTCTGCTCCTCAGAATGTCTGGATAGATTCTTACACTCTACTTTATATCAAATAAAACCATTTGAGGCCATGTGAAAGTGATTTTAATATTTGTTACCACACGACCTGCTGTACAAGGTAACTTTGCAATAAATGTCACTGTTTGTAGAGAGAGATCCTGTGTGTTGGAGAGTGATGCTCTTGGGGTGAATGTGACTCTGCTGTCCATTGTTTACTCTTACCTGAAAAACTTGCAGCATTGCAGAGCCTGTTGCTTAGTTGCTTATTTCTCCTCTGTTGAGACAAGATGGGGGTTGTCACAGATATTTCTTAAGAAAGTAAATTTTGTGGTGGAGGAGGGTGTGAAAGGGAAGTGCTTATTCCCCAGCACATAACTGGATGAACTGAGAATTACTCTTAATGAAGGAAAGAGTCAAGTCCTCCTTAAAAGAAGAAAAAAATATCTGGAGCCTTGGTTGCTGTAAACACAGTGCAGCTGGGCTGATCTGTGCTGTAAAGTAGTTAAAGTGTGTTGTAACTGCTTTTTCCTTTTTGCTTTTCCCTCTGATTTTAGGTATGTTTCCATAAAGCCTGATAAGAGAAAGCTGATTAATGGTACTAACGTGCTAGGCCTGCTGCTTGACACTTTGCTCAAAGATGGATTTCGCCTCATAAGCACCAGGACAGTCCCCAGTGAAGAGAAGGCTGAATGCTACACTTTTGAAAGGATGAAGAGGGCAGCAGGCCTTGCCATCATGGTGAACCAAACCCCAGGGAGCTCTGGGGTAGCACAGGCAAGGAGAAGCCAAGTACAGAAAGGGAAATAAGGGCTTTTCCTTCCATCTTTTGAATGTAGAAGAGGGATGTGTCAGCACTAGTGACCTTTTCTTTTTGTTGTTTTGGCATGCTTGAAACTGCAGCTATTGAGGGAAGTAACAAATACATTTTCTTTCAAGTATTTAGGGGGAAAAATTGTTTTCTTGCCTTTTATCGCTGTACCTTCTTTAAGTAAAAGAAACCCAGATTCAGTACTGGGTTTGTGGACCAGATTTCAGCAATTCCAAGAGTTGTTTTTGTTTTTTCTCTGTGGCTAAAATTTACATGAAGACTCACAAAGCATCAGCCATCCCTTCCAGAAAACTGTTTTTATGTTCTGTGCTAATCTGCAAGTAGATTTTAAAAACAGGGTAACACATGAAGATGATGCAACTGTCATCCCAACAGTCAGGAGAAGTGGCTGGGGGAGGAATGCAAACCCCAGTGATTGATTAGTGCTTCCACTCACTGACTCTCTTGCAGTTGGCTGAGGGCAGTGGGAGGGGAACATCCCGAGCTGTGCTGCTGTGTGGCTTTGTGAAAGCCGTCACTGAAGTCTGTGAAATAATGTGGACTGTCTCTTTCCTCTCCTCCCACTCTGGTGGCATTAAGATGCCCTTTGGTTCTGAGAATTAAATGATAAAGATCTTTGTGAACAGAGGGTCAGTTAATTTTTAGTGCTTTCACCACAAAAAGGATGAAAATGTGATGAACAGCCCTTCAGATGAAAGAATTTGTACAGTTTCAAACAAAGTAGTGCAAAGAATTTTTTAGCACTTGTTAAGTACAACACTGTTGGAAGGCTTAGCAGAAGTGGCTTTAAGAGTCTTGTTAGTCCTGTGCAAAGATTTGTAAAGATGCCAAAATTAGCTCAGGTACTGAGAGAGGTAAGTTAATGAAGCTTTATAAATTAAGAATCTTTTGTCCTTCCATCAAGGCAGAGAGAGAAGATAGCAATAACTTCAGGGATTCATTAGTTGCATCTCAGTTTTGTTGCTGGTAGAACACAGAATTCACAGAAAGACTAGGTTGTAAGAGACCTTAAAGACCATTGAGTCCAACCCATGCCCCAACACCTCAACTAAACCATGGCATCGAGTGTCACATCCAGTCTGTTTTTAAACACATCTAGGGATGGTGATTCCACCACCTCCCCAGGCAGACCATTCCAGAACGTTATGATTCTCTGTGAAAAACTTTTTCCTACTATCCAGCCTATATTTCCTTTGTTGCAGCTTGAGATGGCACCATCTTCCCAAGGCTTAGAATAGCCCAGGAGAACCACTTTGGGCTTTCTTGGCTAACCAGTCAGATCTGGCTTTTCATTAGTTTTAAAATGTGAATGCATTACTTTATTTGCAGCACTTGATAATGGGGGTGGGATTCAGTCATCTCTTTCTTGCCTTAAGGAGTTTCAGTGAAATGGATCTTTCCAGACTGGAAAGAAGTGCCACTATTGGACACCTCTTTTCTTTGGCTACTGCTCTGGGGCATTTCAGCTTGACCTAAGTTCAGAAGCTCAGTGAGCTCTTCTTTGCTTGTTCTAGAACTGTTTGAGTTGAGAATAATATGGTTATGGGACTACATCTCCCAAGCTGCTTACAGGTTACGTAATGAATATAAGAGTGAATACTTCCACTTCACATGGGTTTCTTTTGGTCAGTAATGTCAATGCATTCATATTTGCCTTGAAGTAAGATATTTCTTACAGTGAGAACCATCATTCACTGAACAACCTCCCCACAGATGTGGTGGAGTCTCCCTTGTTAGAAATTTTGAAGAGGATGCTAAATGATTTCATGAAGGCTCTGTGTCACATGAAAGACTGCACCAGATGATCTTTTGAGTTCCCTTCCAGCCTGGTCTGTTCTATGATTCTGTGGAGCCCTTCTGTGAAGGTCTGTGCCGGAAAGCCTGTCATGGTGGGCTTTGAGGTCAGACCACTGTTGGGTGACAGAACAGACAGGCTGTGTGGGGTGCCTTTTCCCACAAGTTGCTGTACTGCAGACAACGCTCCTTGTTTGGAAACAATAATGTTGATTATTGGGTGAGTTACTGGTTGTAGATATTATAGGTAGAGGGACTAGCCAATGTGAAGCATGAGACAAAAAAAAAAGCAAATTCTTACAAGGAAAGTTTAAAAACTAAACTTGAGGCTGCATTTAGATATTATGCCCTAGATGATCACCAATAGCAGTGATGTAAGCTGAGACAAGTTTCAGAACACCTCACAGTAACAATTACACTGTTTCACCTACCACAAAAGTAGGGACTTTGTTTTCCATGCTGCAGCAGCCTCTTTGAAAATTGAAGTTTGGATTCCATTTTTTTTTTTTTTTATGAAGTGAAAGAAAAGACAAATACTTCAATTTTTAAAGAGCCCCAAAGTTTTTACCTATGCAATTATCCATGTTCCATGTCTTTGGCAAAATGAATGTTTGATACAACCATTTTAGTAACTCTTTATGATGGGCTGAACACATGGGTTAATTTTTATTTAGCACAGCATCATTCTATGGATGCAGTATTTGGCTCTGGAAAATATACCAGTGCAAGTTGCTGTCATGCAAAGAACCATATGTGCTTTACCCTTGGGTAACAGTGTGCTGTGGCTTTGTGCTTCTTTTGGAAGCAAAGCACATGACCATCAATAAGCTTGTCCTCCCAGAGTTCTTCCAGCATTTATTCTTACTTAGCTCTGAACTGAGAAGTATCACCTTCTGTCATTTTGTGTTCCTGCAGAGAACGTGATTAGGCTCTTACACAATGTTGGAATTTTTTTGTTAGTTTTTTTAACTGATAGTCCTTAAATAAGTTTGACAGCATGTGTGTGAACAACCTGATAGAAATCTGTTGAAAGCTTCTGAACTGATACCAGTAGGATACCCATGACTTCAATGAAAGATTGGTGGAATAAATTAATTGAATTAAGCTGGTTCTTCAAGGAAAACTCCTTTCTGGGTTTCCTTATACAGAAAAAGGAAGCAGTGATGATAGAGCTACAGGTGTTGTGTAGTTTCAAGCTACAACTAAATAGCAGTAATTATGGAGGAACAGCTGAAATTATGTTTATTTGCAGACAAATTAATATAAAAATAGCACTGATCTACTAGGAGGGTCTTCAGCTGGCCTCCACCTTGCAAGGTTATTTATGCTACTGTAAAGTGTTGCTGAGTCAGGATGGCAAATTTTCTGTGCCCTCTTTGAAGTGGTATGCAGTGCAACCTGCAGGCACCGAGGCAGGAATTTAGAAATAGTGGCCAATGTTTTTACTGCTCCTTCCCTTCTGAAGCCCCAAACAAGCAGGGATGCAGCAGAGAGCAGAGTGTGTGGTGTGTGCTCAGCAGAGTTATTCACACAGAAGGGAACAGCTGTACAAGTGAATTTGGCTGGTAGGAACTAGGAGTCTGAGTGATTTTAAAAGCTGCTTCGTCAAAACCAGATTATGTGCTAAACTGAGTACTTCTACCCAAACCTTGGCAGGCAATTCAGCTCTGGTATCTCACAACACAATCTTTGCTAGACTAGCAGTGTGTTGTAGGTGACTTGGTTGTACTTTTACATGTGACAGAACCAGAAGCTCTGATTGCTAACATCTAGCTCTCTTTTTGATTAAATGGGAATGGGATTTTGAGTAATTTAGACTTTTATTTTCCAATAAAAGTAATTTGCTATCCCTGACATAATCCACTTCTTTCATTGCCAACTTTCTCAAGAGAATTCCTTTTTTTCCTATGAATGCTGCAAAATTTGCTGATTTCAGTAAACTTCACTGCTGTATTTGCCTTTTTATTCTTCCCTGGATTCAGCAGAAATGTGCAAAGTGTTCCACTGCCTGTAAATGCTAGAAAGGAACTGTCACAGTGCTGGGGCAGGCAGCCCCCATGCTCACTCACAATGAGCTCTCTGTGGCTTTGTAACAGGCAAACAGAGAGCCATAGGGGAAAAAGAAACTGAATGGTGAGGCAGCACCATCATCCTGTCCCACTCACAGGGACTGCAGTTTACATGCTAGAAGGAGATCATCCAAAATGAGGTGATAGCTTGTGGGATTTGCAAAAGGCAGATGATTCAGAAAAACAATGCCTCAATTTGCTTTACACTTCCTCATCTTAATCACTTTTCCCTCCTTTAAAATTGGGTGTTATCCTGTGTTTTTATATTCAAGACTGTCAAGGGCTTTGCCAGTACAGTCTTGTGATGCTGGCTGGATGTCCCAACAGGACAGAGGTACCACACACTTCTTCCATCCCCCTGTTCTTGCACCATGTAACTGTGTTGGCTTCCTTTTCTAGTAATGGGTGACATTTTTTGTGCTTTTAAGTAACTTTTTGTCTCCTTCTTCACACACTGAGAAGTCTCTCTTGTGTTGTACTTATCCTTTTCAGAGACACGTCATTTATTTACCACTAGAATTGTTCAGTATCCTGCTGATACCAGGAAGAACAGAGTCTGTTGAGAAATACCTTCTTGTTCTTTGGGTATTGATTTCAATAACAGTTCACGAGAGTTTTTGTTTCTTTGGGAAGTGCAGTCACTGCATTCTTATAGGTTCTGCAGTCAGCACTCATGTGATTGTATAAATTATTAAGGTACTTAAATAACGCTCTATAAATTGATACAATAGACTAAGATACTATTTAGGTAGGATCTTAGATACAAAGACTGATGTCTCTGTGCTGGCCATAGTACTGGGAAGTTTTCCCCTTTACTAAATAATTCCAAACCATTTTCCACTTACCTTCAAAACTGAATTTCATGGAAGTAGCAGAAGATCCTCCCTACAATGCTGTATATGAGGAATTAATAGCCATAGGGCAAAACAACGATGCTGCAGTAACTGCATCATGCCCAATGATAGTAACTTCTGTTAACTTTGGAGAAACTTTTCTGCCCAGTGAACTCTTCTCAGTTTCTACCTATTTTGGCTGGTTTCCAGCTTTCCAATGCTCATAAATAACTCCCTTAATCTGACCTGAGCAAGTCTGATGTGCTTTTGTCAGTCTCTTGAGTTGGTAAGTCTCAGGTACATCCAACATATCCTGGGTGATATTTTGTTTTGACCCACAGCTGAATTCGGTACCAGAAAGCCACCAGGGCGGATCAAACGTCCTGTTTGAGTTCACCACAAAGAGTTCATAACTTTGAATAATTTCTTATTTTTTAAATTTGTTCCTAGATTGCTGAAAAGTGTTACTAAATATTCATTGAGAAACAATCTGGGAATTATCCAAGAAGAGGAGGGAGGCTCAGTGCCTCTTACTCCTTCTCTCTGATTTGTG